ATAGATGTAGAGATCAATATAACAGAATAGAGTGCTTATGGCCAATTGATTTTTGACACAAATGGCAAGGTAAATCAATGGAGAAATGATAATCTTTTCAACAAACAGTGTTGAAACAACTGCTTATTGCATCTGAAAAAAAGAGCCACAACTCATATCTTGCACCATATATAAAAGTTAGCTTGAAATGATTATAGACCTAAATGTAAAACTTAAAACTATAAATCTTTTAGAAGAAAAGATAGGAGACAATCTTTGTGACCGTGGGTTAGGCAAAGATTTTTTGATATGACACCAAATGCATAATCCAAAAAAGAAAAAAAAAAAAAGATAAACCAGGCTTACTGAAAATTAAAACTTCTGCTCTTTGAAAAATATTGTTAATAGAATGTAAAAATAAGCCTCAAATTAGGAGAAAATATTTGCAAATTACATATTAACAAAAGACTTGTGTCCAGAATATATAATGAACTATCAAAGCTTGATAAGAAAACAAACCCAATTTAAAATGAGCAAAAGATTAGAACAGACACATCACCAAAGAAGATATACACAGATGGCAAATAAGCACATAAAAAGAATGTCAACATCATTCATCATCAGGGAAAAGAAAATTAACCCCATGATGAGATACCACTACATACCTAACAGATGCCACTACTCACAGTTAAAAAAACAAACACAAACAAACAAAAAAACACCTCATTAAGTTAAAGGTTAGAGAGAAAATAAGCCAGCTGGTATTGCCTACGTTGTAGGTGGGAATGCAAATGGTACAACCACTTTTAAAAACAATTTGGCAAGTTTTTTGTATATATATATATATGTGTGTGTGTCTGTGTGTGTGTGTGTGTGTGTAGTCAAATGCCTTAGGCACTGCACCACCAGAGCTCCCTGTATACATGTGCAAATGTGCGTGTGTGTGTGTATATATATATATGTGTATATATATATATATATATATATATGTATAGTTTAACATACATAAGCCATAAACCTAGCAGCCTCACTCCTAAGTATTTACCCAAATACAATAAAAACATTTTCACACACAATCCTATACACAAGTATTTATTTTATTTTGTAAACTTCAAACTTGAAAACACAAAGATTCCTCAATAGGACAATGTATATATAAATTGCATATTCATACAGTACAATACTCTCCAGTGACAAAAAAGAATGAACTGCTTTTATCAGTAACAGTGGGAATAAATTTCAAATGCTTTATGCTAAATGAAGGCATATAGACTGAAAAGTCCACATACAGTATGATTCCATTTTTATGACATTCCAACAAAGGCAGTTTTGTAGGGACAGAAAACAGATGAATGGTTGCCAAGAAAAGGGTTGTCTATAGAGTGGGCGTTTGCGGAAGGGAGTGACGGGGTTCTTCTATATCTTGACTTTGATGATAGTTATATGACTCTAAGAATATTTTATAAGTCTTAAAGAAATGACACAAAAAAGGGTGAATGTTACTATATGTAGATTGTATCTTAATTTAAAAATGAGGAAGAGTGAAGCTTCAGCTTTATCCAGACCTATTTGTTTTAAAGACTATGTACAATATATTGCACTGGGCAAATCTGCTGCAAAAGACCTCTTTAAGGTTTTAAGGAGCAACGATGTCACTTTGAAGACTAAAGTAAGCCTGACCCAACCCATGGTAGTTTCAATTGCCTCATATGCCTGTGAAAGCTAGGTAATGAATAAGGAAGACAAAAGAAGAGTTGATGCCTTTGAATTACAGTGTTGGCCTTAAAATACAGCTAATACCATGGGCTGCCAGAAGAGCAAATGTGTTCTGGAGGAAGTGCAGCCAGAATGTACGCAGAGGTAACAGTGGACACATTTCGTCTCTCGTAATTTGGTCATGTTGTCAGAAGGGAATTTTCCCTGGATATCATACTTGGTAAAGTATTATGTCAGTGAAAAAGGGGAAGACTCTCAATGAGATGGACTGACACAGTGGCTGCAACAATGGGTTCAAACATATCAAGGATTGTGAGGGTGGTGCAGGACTGGGCAGTGTTTTGTTCTGTTGTACATGGGGTCACTATGCATTGGAACTGACTTGATGGCACCTAACAACAACAGGTCAAATATAATTCCATTTTTGGGACATTCTATAAAAGGAAAGATTATAATAACAGAAATCAGACCAGTGTTTCCAATGGACTGGATGGCTGTAGGAGACTGAACACAAGCTGCATTGAAGGAACTTTGGGTGGTTTATTCCAGATATTCCAGATCCTTATTTTGGTGGTGGTTAGATGATGATAGGTGTTTGTCAGAGTTCTTAGAACTATGATCCTACAATGGGTCAGTTTTATCGTATGTCAATTATACTTTATGTCAAACAGGTTAAAAAAAAAAAAAAAAACTGGGAATAGTGTTTCCAACTCATATTACAAAGAACTTCTTTTCCTAATATCTGAAGTGGTCCTAGAAATATAGAATGCAAAGATTAATAACAAAAATAGGAAAAAAAATCTTATATAGCTCTTACTATGTTTCAATTTGGGAGCTCTGATAGTGTAGTGCCTAAGGCACTTGACTGCTCACCAGAAGGGGGAAGATTGGGAGATCTATTCCAGAGTGATACTGCCTTGGAAACCCAAGGAGGGGTCACTATGAGTCAGATCCGACTTAATGGCAGTGAGTGATTATATATCTATGTCTTTATATCTTTATCATTATGTATCTATATATATGCTGTGTGTGTGTGTGTACAAGGTTGTTGTGAGAAATAGATGGGAAAAAAAAAACCCTGATAGATCAAATAGATGGAAAATTAGAAGTGTTTAGAATACATGAATGGGAAAAAAAAAAGAGAGAAACTCTGCACTCAACAAACAGGGGGTAAAATTTATTGTTAAGGGTATATGAACTACTTACCAAAAAAAAAAAAAAAAGACTGTAAATAACTAAACAAAGTACTTGAATCCAAAATATATTAAAAACTTGTAGGAAAACAAAATACTTACCCCCTGTTGTGAAGAGCCAATAATCACAACGGATCGAAGAGAGAAAGCAAAAGGTTTATTGAGTATCGATACCCAAGGAGACAGTGAGAATCATTTCTCCAAAATGTCTGTCTCCCCCACCTGGGGAACTGTTAGGGTTTTTACAGGGGATTGGGCTGAGGGGGAGGAGGATTTAAGCAATGCTGATGTTTCCTTCTTGTTATTGGGTTGAGTTGCTGTTGCTTGGTGACCTCTCTGTTCTTCTAGTCAGTGATAAAAACCATCCATGGTCTGGAGAATCATCTTTCAGTTCACCACACCTGCCTAAAGAAATAAATTCTACCAGGGGGAGAGTATGGGAGTGGCCATCTTCAGGCCTCTTGGCCCAACAGCTGCCAGGGATATCTTTGTTTTCTTCTTTATCTTGGTTGTTCCCAGGCTTGGTGTCTCTTTCCTCAGTGTCATCTAGGTTCATAGGCTACGGTTCTCAACTGAAACTAATTGCAGAAAAGAGTTATGCTTCAAAGAATACAAAATTGGGAATAGTAAATCTAAAAACTCAGCACCTGTAGAGAAAAAAAAAGGCTGGCTATACTATTTATTTGAAAATCTGTTAGCTTGTGAGGGTTTTTGTAATTTTCAGTGAGGGGCCCCTTCAGCCTGCTATTTCAGCCTTCCTCAAACTCTCCAAGATCAATATGAAAAATGTAAATGGAATCCTAGAGAATGTATTATTTTATGCCTTATTTCTTTATTCAATTTTATTTTTATAAGATTCATTCATGTTACTACATGTAGCTTTTGTTTATTCATTTTTATAGCTTTATAGTATGTTGTGACTCTACAATAACTGACTTACCCATTTTACTGATGATGGAATTTGGTTTATTTTACATGAGACTGTACAAAAAAAAAAAACAGTGAACATTCTTCAGCATGTACCTTGGTACACATAAGCTCAAAGTTATGCTTAAGAGTAGAATTGCTGGGTAATTGTGAGAATTTTCAAAATTTTAGAAAATATCCCATAATCTTTAGCAATCACTCCTATCCCCACCCAACCCCAACACCCACTCCAATCCCAGGCAAACACTAATTTAATTTTTGTATCTACAGATAATCACTTATTCTGGACATTTCGTATCAATGGAATCATAACTATATATGGCTTTTTGTTTCTGGGTTGTCACTTAGCATAATGTTATCAAGATTCATCCGTGTTGTAGGACATATCAGTGAGTACTTCATCCCATTTTATTGGTACACATTCCTTCAACAAATAAGCGCCTAGGGTCAATGCTGGAAGCTTTGATACCGTGCTTTTTAATCTCAAAACACTTTTCAAATACAGGACCTCGTTTAATCTGGTAATAACACTGTGAGATGTTAAGACAGCTGGATTCATTTTTTCCCACTTAATGAGTACTTAACTGTTCTGTATGTCAGTTCTTTCAACTGCAAAACTAGGCTAACAAGATGGTTTCCCTCATCATTTTGTCAGGATGAGGTAATTATGCAACGAGGTGAGCATGCTTTCTGGCACATACTAAGATCCCCAGCAATGTTAGGCGCTGCTGTTACAACGACTGTAGAATGGGCACGATTCCAATCATTGGGTGAACTCTGAGAAGGAGTTCAAGGTGCCTGTGGTGCTCTCTGAGATGGATTAAAGCCGTAAACCCCAGAGCGCCAAAGCTTTCCGAGAAAGATGAGTTTTCTAACTAGAGAGAAAAGAAAAATGCTAACACCCTTCGCTTTTCCAAGGCCATCTCCCGGGAGTTTGTGCGGGTTCTCTTAAGAATCCAGCGCCTAGACCCTGCCAAGCTCCACCCTGAACTGTCCCCTAAGGGGCGGTGCAGCTGGGAAAGGCCGGGGGCGGTGCAATAGGGGCCGGGGAGATGCAGGGGGTGGAGGGACACTGTTGGGAAAGGGGCGGGGCGTGGTGGGGGACTGGGCGGTGCTGGAAGCCACAAGTCTGAGCAGCGACCACAGCCCGCTTATCCAGCAGAAGGGTAGACCCGCATCCCAGCCATGCTCGCGGCTCTGGGCTCCCTGGCGGCTACCCTCTGGGCAGGGTTCCATCTCCAGGCTTTCTTGCTGGGTGCGGTCACCTTTTTGTTCTTTGTTGATTTCCTGAAAAGGCGGCGCCCAAAAAACTACCCACCGGGGCCGCCAAGGCTGCCGTTCATTGGCAACTTCATTCCACTGGACTTTGAAGGGACGCCCCTGGCGTTTCAGCGGGTATGAGCGGGCGAAGGGTCCTGGTACTGGTCCTGAAGGGGTATTCCGGGGAACTAGAGGAAGCGGTGGCGTAGTGAATAAGACACTTGACAGCTAACCGAGAAGGCAGACTGGGCGATCTACTTTCGTAAAGGTTTACCGCCTCAGAAAACCAATGGGGGCCACAATGAGGCGAAATCAACTAGATGGCAGTGAGTTTTGTTTGGTTGTGGAAGTTTTGTTTGGTTGTGGGAGAAGCTGAAGGAGCCTTCAGCTCAGTTATGATTCGAACTCACCAGCAGATTCCGAAAGAAAGATATGGTTGCCTGCTTCAACAAACATTACAGCCTTGAAAACCCTATGGGGAGTTCTACTCTGTGCTGTAGCGTCACTATGAGTAAGATGGACTCAATGTGCGGCAGGTTTTTTGTTTTTTGTTTTGTTTTGTTTTGTTTGAGTGGAGCAGGGTTTTCTGGTTCTGCGGCTAATTCCAGTAATCTGGGTAAACTCTTTGAGCCTTGTTTTCCTCACCAGTCAACTAGCATGATTCTTCCTGCTCTTTGTAAAATGGGTGAAGTATCATAAATTATTCATATATGATTAGGAGCTCTAGTGGCGTAGTGCCTAGGGCATTTGACTCCTAACCGGAAGGTTGGGGGTTCAAATCCATCAGCCACTTCGCAAAGGCAAATGGGGCAATCTACTTCCATAAAGATTTGCTGCCTCAGAAACCCAATGGGGGTCGCTATGAGTTGGAACCAACTAGATGGCATTGAGTTTGGTTTTTTTTGTTTGTTTGTTTGTTTGGTTTAGGCATGCTGTGTTCCTTAACTTTCTTCTTCTTCTTTAATTTTTATTGTGATTTGGGTGAATGTTTACAGAGCACATTCATTTTCCATACAATAGTTTACATATTTTTTTCATGACATTGATTGCAATCCCCATTAATTTAACAACTCTCTTCCCACTCCTCCCTGTGGTTACCTTTTCCCTGTGTCCTTTCCTATGCATTCCTGCCTCTGAGCTATCTTCCTGTGTAACTACTGCCCTTCTAATCTCCTGTGGTTGGTTGTTCTAGGGAATGTATCTACCAGGTGTAAATGTTCACCTTATACGCCAGTCTAATGTTTGGCTGGAAGACAGGAGAGTGAGTTCAATTCTAGACCTGAAGAGCATCTAGGGACCATAGTCTTGGGGGTTTCACCAGTCACTATCAGACCAGAAGCCTGGCCCTTTTTCATGATTTTCAGTATTGTTCTACATTTTTCTCCCACTCTCCCCAGAATCTCCTATACTGATCCCTTTCCAAGTAGTTGATAGTGGTAGCCAGGTGCCATCTAGTCCTGGTCTTAGGGTCATGTAGGATGAGGTTTGCATGGTCCACTAGTCTTGGGTTAATTGTTTCCATGAGTCTGATTTTCTTCATTTGTTCCAGGTGAGAAGAGACTAATTGTAGCATCTTAGATGACTGCTTGAAAACTTTTAAGATCCCAGTTGTTACTCACCAAAGAAGGATGTAGAACAATGTTTTTGTGTAGTATATTATGCCAATTGAGCTTGATGTCTCCCATGACCATTCTTTGCTGTCTTTTTAATCTACTGACTCTATTAATTACTGAGAGAGGGTGTTGAAGTCTTGAACTGTATTTGTGGATTTATCTATTTCTCCATTTAGTTATCAGTTTTTCCTTCAGGTATTTGGCAGCTCTGTTCTCTGGGGCATGGACATTTAAGATTGTTATGTCTTCTTGCTGAATTGACCTTTACATCATTACGTAATGTACCCTTTGTCCTTTGTGATTTTCATCGCTCTGAACACTACTCTATCTAATATTGATAGAGCCACTTGCAATCTAGTCATTTCTTCTCTTATTTGATTATAATTTGCATGCTACATGTTTATCCATTCTTTTACTTTTAATCTCTTTATCATTATATTCAAATGAGGTTCCTATAGACAACTTATAGTTAAATTATCTTTTTAAATTCATTTTGCTAATCTCCTTAAATTGGTATATTGTTGTTAGGTGCCGTCAAGTGGACTCCAACTCACAGTGACCCAGTATGCAGCAAAATGAAACACTGCCCAGTCATGTGCCATCCCCACAAATCCTTGATATACTTGAGCCCATCCTTGCAGCCACTGTGTCAGTCTATCTCACTGAGGGTCTTCCCCTTTTTCACTGACCCTCTACTTTGTAGTTGTTGTTATTTGCCATTGAGTCGGACCTGATTCATAGCGACCCCTCCTTGGGTTTCCAAGGCATTATCACTACCAAAATAGATTGCCCAACCTTCTTTACCAAGCATGATATTCTTCTCCAAGGAATGGTCCCTTCTGACAACATGACCAAACTAGGTGAGATGAAGTTTGTCCATTCTCACTTTTAAGGAACATTCCAGCTGTACTTCTTTCAGGACTGATTTGTTCCTTCTTCTGGAAGTTATGGTACATTCAGTATTCTGCGCCAACACCATAATCAAAAGCAGCAACTCTTCTTCAGTCTTCCTTATTCATTGTCCAGCTTTCACATGCAAATGAGGCAACTGAAAACACCATGACTTTGTTCAGACTCACCTTAGGCTTCAAAATGATATCTTTGCTCTCCAAAACTTTAAAGAGGTCTTTTGCACAGAATTGCCCAGTGCAATAAGACATCTGGTTTCTTGATTGCTGCTTCCATGGATGTTGATTATGGATCCAAGTAAAATGAAACCTTTGACAATTTCAATCTTTTCTCCATTTATCATGATGCTGCTTATTGGTCCAGTTGTGAGGATTTTCATTTTCTTTATGTCAGGGTATAATCCATACTTCAGACTGTAGTCTTTGATATTCATCAGTAAGAGCTTTAAATCATCTTCACTTTCAGCAAGCAAAGTTGTGTTCATATGCATATTGCAGGTCGTTAATGAGTCTCCCTCCAATTCTGATGTTAGGTTCTTCTTGAATAAATATTTTGAAAGGATACAACCCTGACACACACCTTTCCTGATTTAAAACCATCTAGTATCCCCTTGTTCTGATGTCATCCCACAATTCGTCTGGTTTTCAATCATTGGTGCTCAATGCATCAAATCTGTTCTTGAGATGGTCTCTAAATTCAAGTGAGATGTAATCGAGGTCATATTTTGACTCTCATGGGCTGGTTTTAATTGTCTTCAGCTTCAACTTGAACTTGCATAGGAGCAATTGATGGTCTGTTCCACAATCAACTCCTGGTCTCATCTTGGCTGAAGATATTGAACTTCTCCATCACCTTGTTCCACAGATGTAGTTGATCTGATTCATGTATATACCATCTGGTGAGGTCCCCTTGTATAGCAACCATTTATGTTACTGAAAAAAGTATTTGCAATGAATAAGTTGTTGGTCTTGCAAAATTCTGTCATGTGATTTCCAGCATCATTTGTCTTACCAATTTTACATTTTCCAACTAGCAGTTTCCAACTTTTGCATTCCAATCATCAGTAATAATCAATACACCTAGATTGCATGTTTGGTCAATTTCAAACTGCAGAAGTTGGTAAAAATCTTCAATTTCCTCATCTTTGGCTTTGTTGGTTGGTGCATAAATTTGAGTAATAGTAGTGTTAACTGATCTTCATCACTTCTAAGGAACATTCCAGCTTTACTTCTTTCAGGACTGATTTGTTCCTTCTTCTGACAGTTATGGTACACTCAGTATTCCCTTACTATATATTATTTGTTTCTTTATATAATGAATTGTTTAAAGATGTACAGTGAAAAGTATGCTCTTGTCTAGGAAGTCTTCTCATATCCATAATAATGGATATTATCATATCACTGACAGCATTGTACTTCAGGATATATCTTGAAACATTTTTTTGTGATCATGAATTTCATGCCATTCCTCTTCAATTTGTCATTCCCAATATAGTAGATCATATGTTTGTCTGATTCCAAATGGCCAAAACCAGTCCATTTCAGCTCACTAATGCCTACGATACTGATCTTTATGAGTTCCATTTCATTTTTGACAACTTGCCATTTTCCTAGATTCATACTTTGTACATTCCATATTCCAATTATTAATGGATGTTGGCAGGTGTTTCTTTCAATTTTGAGTTGTGCCACATCAGCAAATGAAGGTCCTGAAAGCTTTACTCCATGCATGTCATTAAAGTTGATTCTACTCCAATGTGGTAACTTTTCCCCAGTCTTAATTTGAGTGCTTTATGACCTGAGGGCCTCATCTTCTGGTAGTATCTCAAACAACTCAGGGCTATTTATAAAGTTTTCCAGTAATATATCAGACAGTGTTTCACTGCTATTCATAAGGTTTTCACTGGACAGTACTTTGAGAAGTGGATGTTCTCTTCCTTCTTCTAAGTCTGTCTTAGTCAGGAAGCTCTGTTGAAACCTGTCCACAATGGGTGATTCTGCTGGTATATGAAACCTGTGGCATAGCCTCCAAACTACCAGAGTACAACAAACTGATAGACGAGTAGTGGACCTGAGTTATAGCATATGTCATCTTCTCTTATGTGTTACAGTTCTCTGCACAGTCAGCCTCCCCCAAGAGATTTTGGTATTTTAGGACAACACCATGTCATATTGATCGTTGAATTGTCTCCATTTAGGAAGAACTCCTATCCGGGGAGCTCTAGTAGACTAGGGGGTAAGGCATTTGGTTGCTGCAGTTCAAACACACTAGAAGGATAATCCATAGGAGAATCATAAGGCAAGATTTACAGATTTGGAAACTCAACAGGATCGCTATGATCAATTCAATGGCAGTGGGTTATTTATTTATTTGTTTATTTATTTTAATAGCATAGCAAAGTGAAAAGGAAATTGGTAACTCAACCAACTCATGAAAACAATGGATTGTGCTTGAATTTTATTCTTCCAGATTGTTCTCAGAAATCTAGTATATCCCCCAAAAAATACATGTGAAATTGGGATTCTTAACAGGAGTCTGTGTGCCCCCAGGGTACTGGTGAACCCCTGAAACTGCATGCACAACTATATTCATATATAT